CCTGCCCTGGCCCCCTGGGCCCTGTCTCTGGCTAAGCCCAGGACACTCTCAGGCCCAAGAATCTCTCTCCCTCTGCCCAAGACTATACTGACCCTGTCCAGCGGCGGCACAGCAGTGGTGTGGACAGAGCGGGACGCGGTCGCAGGGCGAGGTCCTCTGAGGCCTCATGCAGGGGGTCACAACACAGGAGGAGGTTCTCGGGGTTCATCTCCCCAGAGGTACCCCGGTGGATGGCCAGGGCAGGCTGGTCCCTGGCTGGGTGGTCAACCGCTAAGGGCGTAGCTCATGGCTTGGCAAGGAGCCCTGGGGCTGGTCTGGGCAGGACAATCGCATCGTCCAGGTCGCCGCCAGACTTATTGAGCGCAGAACCGGGCGCTGTCCACGGAGCCGGCTCAACCCTGGGGCTGCCTCCACCGGGAACGCCACCTACAGGGGAAAGACGGCCAAACCAGAGCAGGAGTCTGGGGGACACTCGCTGAGCGCTGCGGGCCCTTGCGGGATGGAACCATCCGGACCTTCCTGAGGACACCTGGCCCTGGCGTCTCCATTTCCCTGAGGGAGTGAGGGGTCAGTGGCCACAAGCCCCTCCCCCCACTGGGCCTCTGTGGCACGTGCAATCCGGGAAGCGGCCACTGGGCGGCGCCAGCGATCCCCATCGGGAGTGGGTGAGGCCAGAACTGAGCCACCAAAGAGGACCCCGAAAAGGCAGGAAGCTTCTGACAGTCACCTGTCCCCAATGCGGAATCCCAGGAGCAGTAGCACGTATAGGGGAGTGAACGCCTGGTCCAGCGCCCTCCATAGAGCTGTGCGGACTGTGCGGCCGGGCCACGAAAGAGGGGTGCGGTGGGCAGAGAACCCTGACACGGGGCAGGAGGACCTGAGCAGCCGCCCGGACGGGGCCACTGTCTGAAAGGGCGGGGCCCGAGCCGGGGAGGGGGCAGCAGGCCGCACACACAGAGGTGGACAGCCTCGTGTGCAGGGGGCACTGGTGGACGGGGCGGGAGCCCAGCTGGACAGAGCAGGAGCCCAGCAGGACTGGGGGCTGAACAGGGGCCAGCAGGGGGCGCAGGAC